AATAAGGAAGGGAATTGATAAAAGAGGAACCGGAAGGAATTATATGTCATTTTTTTACTTTTAGCTTAATTATACTTACCTTTAGTTTTGCTGAAGTTCACTTATGGCCCTCTTAGTTTTAATTGCAAAAATATTGTCCTTATAGTTTTTGAAACTGATGCAATTTAAGTCCCCAATCAATATCAGATTGATATTAATGTGGCACACTTTTATCCAAAGTAGCAAGGTGTCATATCATTTCCAATTCAGCAAAATCATACAGAGGAGTCAAATCATCAAATTTGATGCTACATATAACCATCAGATAGACAAGGTGATTTCATTCATTCAATCAATATGAAAACATAAGGGGTGCCAAATGACAATGTTCTCATAGCACACAAGATCCATGCTTCATCCACAGAAGGAATTGTCATTGTTTAGTTCCATTTATTTTGAAGAAATAATCGCTTCTTTTTTACCAGGGTGCTTTGGAAACAGTTATTTCTAGAAAAATAATCTTTTCTCAAACAAGCACGAAATCTTGTATGAATGATCATTACTTTTTCTTTTATTTCATTTTTCCATCAAAGCCATTTTTATGTTCATTCATTATAATCGCAGTTATAAAAGCAATCTTATAAATTAACAACAAAACAGGAAATAGCAAGTGCAACATATATCAACTATTGCACTAAAAAAAATAAATGTAACTTTAAAAATAATAAATGTTATTTAAATGTTACAACAAGAACTCAAATCCTATTTTTCTTAACTGTGGGGGTAGGAGTGTATAAGAATAGTAAATCCCTCCCCCCGCCCCCCAAACTTCTTTATTTTCAAATATCACTTCCAATTATTAAATATTTTATTTTATATAAAAGTAAATGTTTGCATCCATAATCATTCCTGATGTACCAGAATAAAATCAGAACACCTGTTCTACATTCACTCAAAATCCTCCCACTTGTGTAGCTTAAGATCCATTTAGTGCGTTAGTATTATTTTCTCTTGCATTGTCACCCCAAAAGAGAGAGAGAGAGAGAAGGTCCAGAGAAGTTCCCATGGTGTGTCCACACACTTCATGTATTCACAAATGCACCAAAAATATGGCATTTTTGGTATGATATACTTTCCTTCCATTATTGATGTGTGCTCATCTTCTCATAACCATAAAAATATAGATGAGAGATGTTATACTAAACAGTGAAAAACATAAAAATGAACTAAATAAAAGCCAAGAGGAAGGAGGAGAAGCTGAAAATGTTAACCGTTCTACCACCAGTCAGTACATGTGGGTACCAGCACTATTCTCAAAGTAACGGTCAATGACACAACCAATAGATTACTTTTTGAGAAAAATCCAAGCCACTGTAATTGGTATTGTCTGTGGGTCAATGTTCATGTTTAATTTGTTTTTATTAGAATAATAGAGTTCTCATCTCTAAGGATGATGCCTAATCCTCCTTATCTTTGTTTCTATTCTTTCCCTCAAATAAAAATTCTTCTGTATCCAATAATAATAAACTTCTCTCTCCTTTCTCTACACAGGTAGAGTAGCACCAAATAACTCAAGTACTCAAAATACAATTTAAGCATATTATATTGACTCTAGGATGGAGAAAATACCTTGGATAATGCATCCATTGCACCTTCCATGTGATTCAGATCATTACTGTCTAAGCAATTTACAAGGGCTTGCAACAATTCAGGCCACCCAACTACTCCACCTATTTGAACAACAACACTAATAACAGTTCCTGTGGTAGATCTTATGTGCTTATCTGCTGCACCAAGACAAGGCAGCAACTCTGATTTCACGTATTGTTGGTACGTAGGCGGCATAGATTTGTATGTGTTTCTGAGGTTATTCTTCAGATATAAACCAGCAGCCTGGCGAATCTCCACTGATTTCCCCTATTCAAAAGAAAATTGCCACAGCAACACAATCATCAATGTAAAATCAGGTATTCCATGAACCCACCGAACCATAATTGCCCCACACCACACACGATGCAGTTTTGCAAATAGTCTCGAAATGTTATCTAAGCCAATGCCATATAGATAAGACTTACTTCCATAAACCATTTGAATGATTTAAAAATACCAGATACACAGTTTTCTAGATGCGATACGAAGAACAAGTTAGGGAAAACTAAAAACAAGAGAGTTGACTAGTGTCAGTCATTAACCGGTTCGTGCAATTTGATGAAGTAACAGACAAAACGATAGTATCAAAAAGAGAGAATAAAACGTTGTCGCTTTCTTGCTCGAGCGTAACACAACCTTCATAAGTCCAGTAGATTTCATTTTACTCAGAACAATCAAATCAAACACAAATAATACCCTACGAAATAAAGCACTCAAAAAGCTTCACATCACTGAGAGTAAAATTTTCCAATCGAACAAAAACAACACAAAGCGATCCTCACTGTTAACGCAAGCAGTAAACAGGCGATGCAAATAAACAGAAGGAAAAGGTGGATTATAGATAGAAGAGTATAAAAGTGAGAATTAGAGATACCTCAGCACGGGAGAAGATGAAGGCGAGGTAATTGTTGAAGTCAGGGAGGTGAGAGTAGTGCTGAAGGTGTTGCCAAATCTGAGCCTTGTCAGCGGAAGAAGAATGTGAAATCTGCTGCTCCAGGAGACCGCAGATCTCCTTGAACCCTTGTTCCTGAGGCTGCCACGATGGAGTCGCCGCCGCCGCCGCCATGCTCACCGGAATCCGGCCACGCGAATCAGAGAGAGAGAGAGAGAGAGAGAGAGAGGGAGGGAGAGAGAAAGGGGTTTTGGAATTAGTGGGCGCAACAGAGAGAGAGAGAGAGAGAGAGAACGACACCGCTTTTTAAATGAAACGCAACGCAACGCAACGCAAGAGCTTCAAGGTTCTCGACTCGAGCACACACAAAATACAAATAACTTTTTCTTCTGCCAGCAAAGAAACAACCCTCGCCTCGCACACTCCTCTCTCTCTCTCTCTCAATAGTCACTGTTCACACCATCAATAATCCCACAAACACTGTTCACCGGTTGGGTTTTAGGTTAGGCCTTCCTACTTTGGGCTCTACGGGAAAAATAAATTAAAATAAGCTTTGTAAAATAATAATTCAAAAATCATATTCAGTTTGTCATCATCATTTTACTTTTTAACCCACCAGATATGGTATCATAGAACATTTCTGGGACCGTCATATTATATAATCTTACGCAATGTTAAATTTAGTCAAGATTAGCATTAATGTTAATGCACATTCATCAAGCTTCAAGATACAAAAATAAACCCAACCCTCGTGGGACTCATTGACTACCCGATCTGCCTGCAATTGTAGATGGTATGGTCTTCAACGTGTACTTTCCAATGCTTTCAACCCATACTGCTTTGGTCTTGCTGTGTTGGGGGAAGCAATAAATCAAATCTAATACAAACTAATCATGTTTTATGCCCTTAAGCAATGACTTGGGGATGATGGTAATTTCCTACTCAAATTTTAAGCATTCATTACTCGTCCATCATAACCTACTTTAGTGTCATACAACGTAGTTTCCTTATAGTTGGGCAAATTCATTTTGCTAGTCTCCCATTATGGATCTTGGTAAATTTAGTATATACCCATTGGCTATTCAAAATAACTGTTAATTCACCCTTTTAATGTTAGTAATTACATGATTAAAAATTATATTTTTTTTGCTAACACTCTCTAATAATTTCACTTTTCTCCTAGTTTTTTAGTATGATTCAACTAAAAATATATTTGTCATTAATCAAGTTAAACTTTATTTAGATTTCACGGAGAAAAGGAAAAGCGTTAATAATCACTATTTTTTATTTAAAAATTAATTAAATACGAAAAAAAAGGTTAAAGAAATTTATTAACTTCTTAACTTTTTATTTAATTCTCTCATTTTAAAAAATGTTAGTGACTTATAGAATAGAATTTATTATTTTTATTTGTTAAATTAAATATTGAATATAATTTAGAGTTAAAATAGTAAGAAAATTTAAAAAAAAAATCTTTGAACTCTTAATTTTTAAAGTGAGAATTTTTTTAAATTATAAAAAATAGATATATAAATTTTAAAAATATTTTTAAAAAACTAACTTTTTATATCTAAAAAAAATTAAAAAATATATATGAATAAAAAATATAAAAAAAATAATAAGATAATTTACATATTAAACTCTCAATTACCTTTCTCAAGTAGTTTAACCTTTCTTTCCTCTTTCTTCTCTTTTCATTTTCAATATTTTTTTTCTCTCCCTTCAAACTCTCAAACAAAATTTAAAAGTCTCACATAATTGTTTAGTCCACTTTTGTCAAGCCTTGACATTTTATTGAATCAGAGCGATTATTGAAAACTCGGGAGAAAAAAATCAGCAATTCACAAATCGAATTGATCAGGAAAAAAATTATATTAAATAACAGGTCGACACAAAATCATATTAGATGGAATTTCAACATAATATCAAATGAATTTATTAGGACATGTGTAAGACTGAAAAAAATTAATGAAAAGCTAAAAATAAGAATTTATGCATGACTATGATTTAGCATTAAGCCTTTTGTTTGATAAAAAAAATATTTTTTTCATTAGACCATCAAATTATGTACAAATAAAAACAGAACAAATTGGTTCACCATTTGGAATGAAAATCTACATATTAATTCTCCACAGATTTTATAACCAGCCATTTTTCTAAATTGAATTAACTATTTACCTGATTAGTTCACAGGTCCCGTTCAGCTTTTTATAAATGCTTGAATCAAACATGGTCGTATTACTTGTTACTGCTCAGTAGCAAGACCTGGAAGATATGTACGTTTATGTAAATGGCATGATACGTCGACCAAGGTATAATTGTAGCTGTACTTCGATGTGTCTGTCTTTGCTTCAGTTTCCAGGTTTGGAAGGTTATCGGTTTGGTGTTGCAACTTTCAGGTTTGTCTCTCACCTTTTAATTCATGGACTATTTGACATGTAACCATAAAAATAATAACTCTGCACAGTTTTAGTAATGACTAGAATAAATGACACTTCTTAAGTTTTGCATATAATAATTGATAGAACAACAACGAGTGGTGATGATCACACCCATTTTACAGCTTCGATACTTGACACCACGTTCTGAAGCTATATAGCCTTTTATACAACTTATTTATTGTTCATGCAAACATGGAGTACTAAAAAAGAAGCATCATAATAGGAATTCTTCTGTGACCAAGTCCAAGGCCACCTACTATCGTAATTGCACTGAATAATGCTTCGTCCACCGCGTTGAGAGTACGCTTTGGCAAAAATGTATATATTCTTAGAATTTGGACTTCATCAGAGTTCCATTTCCATTTACTCGATGTGTACATAAAGACAGCAAAATGAATTCCAAACGGATAAGCCGACACACAGGACTTGATTGAGACAAGCATACAAATTTCAAGCAATCATGGGAATCATTGGTCTCTGGCTTTCCATCTGCTAGCACTTGCTTTCTCCTTCTCCGTTCATAGCCCAACAGTATTTGGCAAAGACCCAAGATGATACAAAAACCATAACTGATTCAATTTTCAGTTTATGGTTTTCATCAAAAAGAAATTCCCTTGAATTATTTACCCACAGGTTGCAGATTCCTGAGAATCAATCAAGCAGAAAAAATCAGCTCAAGACCAGTTAGTAGCAAATATAATGCTTGTTATTTGCTACTTGTTAGCCCTTCTTGTTTCCTCTGTGCTTAACAATGACAGGAACAGGCAAAACAAAATTTGTATACAAGCCTCATGGTCTCACCCAGCTCACCTTCCCCACAATCAAGAAGGAAAATGAGAGGTTAACATTATATTAAGGTTTCCATAAGCACAAGCACCGATTGTATGCTTGATAAACCAGGCAACAAATGTAATGCCTGGAATTACAAAAGAATAGCAATAATATATATAATACAGCACAACACCGAATATAGGTTCATGGTTATAATACTCCTCAATTAGCATATCCTGATACAAAGATTCTGAATGACAAAACACTACTGATAGATCATTAAAGGTGACAATGATAATTTCAGTACCTAAAAATTAGAATCGGGAGATGACCATGCCAAATAATCCAATCTTATGCTCAACATCTGACAGCATTTATCTCTGCTTTTCTGCAGCCTACACACAGATACATAAGTTAAGAAAGAAAATAGGTAAGATATAGCATGACAAATGTTATAGAAGGCCATTGTGAAACACTGGAAGACATAATACAGAGAAGAGAAGTTTATTCATACAAAATTGAAGGAAACACATTCAAAACCAACTTGTCACTAATATAACCGTAAGCATCAGTTACTTTGTCACATCAGTAATAAGTAGATCAATAACCTCTCACTGAATTCAATTAAAACAAAGCGCGCGCACTCCATATATTGGATTATTAAGCCATATCATTTATTAGTTTCAAAACACACCTAAATAAATGACAGCTAAAAGCTTTCTTACACTTTCTTACCTTGACACTGTGTCTAAATTAAATTAAACCCATTAGAAGATTTGTAACAGTAGCCCACACAAGATGCATTTTCATAATACAACTAGCAGAAGAGATGCAAGTAGAACAAACAACATTATCAAAACGATACTTTCACCACATAATACATGCCTCATGACGTAATTTAAATCAAAATGCTACTGCACAAAAGTACAGGAAGAAATACAGTATTAAGATTCAAGACCAGCTTAAGTTCAATAACATGATCCATTAACTCAATCAAGAAACAACAAAGCAGCTTAAAAAAAAAATCAAATGTAAAAAATGCAGAAGTCAATGGCAGACCTTTTGCAGTTTCTTCAGAACAGAATCCTCAAAAGCCTGATACCCAGCCCCGACCAGATTACTCATCCTCTCAGTTTCAACCGTCTTCGAAGCAGTCGAAGAATCCGCGGCCATTGCGGGCTTAAGAGGCAAAACCAGTAACGGATTAGCAAGGTGACCAATCACACTTCCTGTGGCAGCAACCTGCATAAACCCACAATCACAAATTAGCAAACTACGCAGCAAAAACAATCATCAACATACGAAGGAATCAATCAAACTCACAGCTCCATCTTTAGTAGCCATAACAACCAAAGCAGAACCCCTCTTCTTACTCCCCTTGATCACAACATCTTCCACTTCACCGAACTTTGAAAACAATTCCCTCAACATATCCGCCGAATAATCCTCACCGACCTTCTCCCAAGAAACCTTCAGAACCTTTTCTTGATCCACCGAACCACCTCCGGCGGTGGCGGCGGTGGCGGCGGCGCTCTCTTTCTTGGCATCCGAAGGAGGAGGCGGCGATTTTTTGGCATGCATAGCCCTAATTCGAGCAATCTCTTCCTTGAGTTGCCTGGCGATTCTGGCTTCTTCTTCGCGCTCCTTGACGGAGGGATCGGGGGCTGTGGCGTCGCGCTCTCTCTGTTCAAGGTCGGAGACCATTTTGCGGCGTTTTCCGTCGCGGTGGGATTGGCGGAGCTCGCGGTCGCGCTTGACGCGCAAGAGGTCATCGAACAACTTGCGAGCTTTGGGATCTTTGAGGATGTCGTAAGAGGTGCGAAGCTGTTGGAAGTTGGAGGCAGCGTTGGGATCATCGGGTCTTTTGTCGGGGTGCAATTCGAGAGCCTTTGATTTGTAGGCTTTGTTTATGTCTTTCTCTGTGAGGTTGGCACCTTCTTCGCCGGAAGGGAGGCCTAGCACCGTATAGTGATCGATTTCTACGTCCATTCTCCGGCGTAGGATATGGAGGCCTCAAAACCCTAACCCTCTTCCGAGACAGGATGCGTTCGTCGCCACGACTATAAGAAATGTATGATTTTTTGTATAATCCAAGTGTTACAGCTTTTAAGGTGTGATAATATATATTATAATTAAGACAAAAGGAATATTCTTGAAGACAATCCTTAACTCACCAAAAAGAAAACAAGAACTCCACCAAAAAAAAAAAAAATATATATATATATATATATATATATATATATACGCAATCTTGAAAACATCTGCTTTCGGTAATAAAAATATGAAAAGGGGAAAAATAGTAAATTTTATTTTTTTTAAATTATTATATTTTTGTAGTTTTAATGCAATAAATTTACTTTTTAATAAAAATTTAATACTTCTAAATAATTAAATTAATTTTAAAAGCTAAGAGTAATTATATATATATATATATCTATATAGATTTTTTTATCCTTTTGAACCGATGCACATAGGTATATTTATAATTCCCAAATTTAACAAAATTTTATTTAATATTCTTTTATTTAAAAATTAATTTATATGATAATAATATTATAAATTTAATTTTAATACATTATCAGTATAACTTTTATACTATCAATAAATTAGAATATATTGATAATATAATTTTTATATTAATTATTATAGAAATTAATATTTTTTATTGATATGATAATTCCTAATTAAGTTATGGTGTAATTTTTTATTCTAAAAGTGTATTTAAATTAAACTTTTAATATTGTATATCTTTCTTTTACTCCACAATTTGAAAATAAAAAATGTGAATTAAAATAAAATAATTAGTAAAACATTAAAATGTTAAAGATTTAATAATTTTCATTATTTCTCAAATTTTCTTCCACTTTTTAAATAACATTTTATCAAATATATATTTTTTGCATTAACTCGTGAATTATTCGTTCGAAAAGAAAAAAAAAGCCGTACCGTTAAGCGATAGCCTTTAAAATATTCAATAAATTATGTAAACATTTTTAAAAAATCTGAATCTCATTTCTTTCTTTCCATTCTATTAAAGTAAAAAACGAGCTGTCAAGAGACAATTTTTTAATTATATTTATTTATACAAAACAATTAAACAAATATGAAATCTTATCATATCGAAGTCAAATTATACCAAATCTTATCTCGTATAATGGAGTCATATCAAATAAAAAAAAAACATTGAAACATAAATCGAATCTTCTATTCCGATTTTTTATACGATCTCAAGTAAATGCTGACAATTTAAGGTTAAAAATATACTTTCATTTATTTATTTTGCCCCTTTTCAAAGTAGTTAGGATTTAATTGGAAATTCAAGGATGAAAACAAGTCAGGAACAAAAGTAGAGAAGAAAAGGAACACCCAATTCTTGTTCACAAAAGGAGGGAGTGTGGACGACATCATTGAATCTGCCAAAAGCAGGGAATGATGCTCGCATGTGGATCATTTCAAATAGCCAGAGATGCATCATCAATGAGTCCAATCTTAGCAAGATAGTCAGCAAAACATAACTGATTGCTTCCCGCATAATGTCGAATAACTTGATTGACCTAGCACGATGGAGAGATGAGAAGACTGATACTCAGAATAATGGTTTGGAGCTTGGCCCTACAACGATAGTGACAAATGCAAATACTGCCAGTTTCCCAGACTATAAAAGTCTGTTTGAATTATTAATAGAATAAAGCAGATAAATACATCAAGGAAGTGTCCAAAAGACTATCCTTATTATAAGTGTCCTAAACAATCAAATTACTACAAGATAAATAAATTATGAAACAAGCAACATACATTGGGAAAGCAGTCTCCACAAATTCCAACAGCAGGGAACATCCCTCAATGCAATTGATGCTATCCCAAACTAACACAACTAATATTTCCCCCTCAAGAACAAAATGGCTTAGGAATCATAATATCTACGGGGTCTTTTGCCTGACTAACCGACCGATTCAAAATGAGGCACTCAAACAGACTCAATCCTTTATTATGTTTATGCTGGATAGAAGAAATATGAACTTTTGGGGAGAAAGCAAAAACAAAATAATTGCTGATGACGTTAGGCACTGATTGAGCAGGGGACCAAGGTGTATGAACTTGCTTGCCTAATCATCAATTACCAGCATCTCGACTGTAATACTGGTCAAGAGTCTTGGCAGGTATACGATGAAGAAGTTCACGAGGGAAAATCCGGAGCAAAGTCCATGCAAGATCTAGTGACTGGAATATATTGCGGGTGTCATAAGCTCCCTGGGAGACAAACTTCCTCTCAAACTTGTCCAAAAATTCCAGATACAACTGTTAATAAAAAGGGGAAAAGAGATTCATTAATACCATTATGAGGGCAATTTCACTTATTGAAACAAAATATAGTTACGAGAGAAAATTATTAGAGACCAGATCCTCGGATGAAAGTGCTTCTTCTCCAACCACTGCTTTCATTGCTTGGACATCCTTTCCAATAGCATAATTTGCATAGAGCTGAAAAGAAACAAAATAACATGAATGAGATAGATAGTTTGTGAACAGAAAAATAACTATACGATGAACAAACAAGATTAAACCTGGTTGGACACATCGGCATGATCCCTTCTTGTCATTCCCTCACCAATAGCACTCTGCAGAGGTGACCGATGATGCATCATTAGAGTGTGAGCTGCTTAACTTGCTTTTATTTAAGAAACAGAATTTTACTGGACGACAGCTTGAATCAATCAAATATGATTAACCTTACCTTCATCAATCGAGATAGTGATGGAAGGACATTGATTGGTGGGTATATCTGCTCAGTTAAAAAGAATTAAAATGTTTACTTAGTCTCAATATTAAATCCACATAGTTAATCAAATATTAAATGTAAGCAATTTACCACCAGGTGACTATGACTGACTGGATACCAACTTAAATACATCATTTTGACTGATTTATGACAAAAATCTACTACAATCTAACTGGTGACATGTTTCACAGCATTCTACCTTCACGTGTCAAAGGAAATAAAAACCAACACATTTCAAACCTGTAGCAGTTAAAGCCATGAGAAGATAAAAACCAAAACATTTCAATACAGAACACTAATTTCCATTGAACTATTTACCAACAATTCACTATTCTTATAGTAATATCACATCGATGTTAGGATGTATTTTGCACCAATTTTCTCTTGTAATTAAAATCCAGTATCCAATACAGTGTGGTGTGCAATATTCATTACGGCTGAAAGCTTCAACGTAACCCACCTGTCTATTATACAACTGTCTGTCGATGTATATCTGCCCCTCAGTGATATATCCTGTTAGATCAGGAGTCGGATGCGTAATATCTGTAGAGAAGAAGTTCAAAATATGATCACTAAGCATTAAGAAAGCATTGTGCAAGGTAGCTAATGAACTGATAAATTACATTACCATCGTTTGGCATGGTTAGAATTGGAATTTGTGTAATAGAGCCTTTACGTCCCTCAATTCTTCCAGCACGTTCATAAATTGTTGCAAGATCTGTGTACATATAACCAGGATAACCACGTCTTCCTGGCACTTCCTCTCGGGCTGCAGATACCTGTAAGATCAAGAGGTGATTGATAGCTAGAGTTTTGCAAACTGTTTTAGAGATATTTCAGTTATTTCTCATACTCCACTACTCTAGGAATGTCAATTTTTAATTATTATTATTATTAAAGCCTCCAAAACTGTTGTGCACAAACAGAAAATATATATATCACAAAAGGGATAAGGCTATAAAAAGGTTTCTCATCTCTCACTTTTTCTTCATTGCTTCTGTTTCCAAATATTACAGTTGAAGGTATATTACCTCACGAAGTGCATCTGCATAAGAACTCATATCTGTGAGAATCACAAGAACATGCTTGCCACATTCATAAGCCAAATATTCAGCAGTAGTAAGGGCAATACGAGGAGTGATAATACGCTCAATTGTAGGATCATTTGCCTGCAGTAAATCACAGTATCAAGAGAAGAAACACTTTATGGATTAGCTTCATCAAGGTATTTTAAAATATGAAAGTCATTCTCAATGTATCACTTTGTGTTCTTCAAATACAATATGATAATTCATTTTAAATTTTTGAAAGTCATACATTTTTCAGTAAGAAAAAACCACTCTACTAAACAATCATTTAAATCTTCACCACCTGGTATATCCTAGAAAATATGCACTCAGTCCATATCAACATGCCAAAAATTAGTTTGGTATTGATCATGGACATATTACCACTACATACATATTTATCAATCACCATGTTAGATTAAAATTAAAGACAAGCAAAATGTGAGAATTTTTTTGTAATGAATAGATTGGATCATAATATTCACACTCTGAAGAAAAATGAATAATGAACAATAAACAAAAAAACTCATCATTCAGTAAGTTCCAAGCATGTATCAAAAGACAATACTGATATAAGGGCTTTATTTTCTTTGACTTGTAAACTACTCAACATAATAATTGAAAGGATATTGGGATGGTGAAAAAACAGACTAGCGGGAATAAAAGAATACTTGTATACAGATGTTAATTTATAAACTAACCAAATTAAGGAAAAGAGTCACTCTCTCCATTGAACCGTTCTCCTCAAAGTCTCGTTTGAAAAACTGTGCAGTCTCCATGTTAACTCCCATAGCTGCAAATACAATAGCAAAATTGTCTTCTTCTCCACCCTGCATAACATTAGATTTGTGAGAAAAATCACTTTTATTATATAGAAATTACAGAAGTAATGAGTTTAAGTAAATGATTAAGAAAAAAAAATGACTTATTAATCTTAAGGCAATAAGTAGCAATAGATTTGTAAGCAATAAAACAAGTGAGGTCACCTCAAAATTAATTTTGTCTGCTTATATGACTGTTGTTCAAAACAGTGATGGTGATTAATGTGCCATGGGGAATTGTGGGAGTAAAAGTATCAACTGGAAAGATAGTCATAGGGAATAGTATTATTTTATGTAAAATGCATTTTGTTTTGTGATTTGACTACTTTCCTGCAGGTGATTTTACGTTTAGTCTTCATTCAGCTTTGTAGTTTCTTATGGAGGATACCCTATCCTTTTTGTATTTTCCCAGCCATATCCAATA